ACAAAAACAACGTTAATCCCATGCCTCGCGAGTAGCAAGTGAGCAAATCTGTTGCACCGCGCAGATTTGCACCTGAATAAAAATGTCACCAGTCTAATCTTGTCTCGGTCTCCCCTGAAAGATAAATTTTTGAGTGCGCAAAACCTAAAAGGGGCGCTAAATGACAATAAATCTCTCAAAAATAGATCTGTCCCCTGAAAAAACAGTTCAGTGCATTCCACGGGTGCGCTTTGACAACTTTCTTGCATATTATTTTAGCTATTTCTAAAACCGACATTCTTCTCAAAAATAACCACGAGTCACTGATTCGTTTATGATTTGCATTGTTACCGTGGGGTCATTTTCTTGAATTGTCGCATTTTTATTGGTCCAAATGATGCAGAATTATCTCTTCTTTACATGCTATTTTATTCTCTCCCCTCGAACTTTAAAACACAGCTTACTTGACTAGGTCCCATTCATACTATATCCGTCGCTTTGATAAAGTAGAAAAGTAGGAGGAATTTGCCATCCTATTGACCACGCAGAAAACTCACTGAGATTTGCACAAAATCCGCACAACCATTTTCTCGTAAAACATTAAACTGCTTCATTAAATTTAGCAATAGCTGATGTGGTTTGGTTCCTTTCTACTTAACGCGGTCCAAATAAATTGTCAGCAAAATTTTTGGAGAGTTTTCCATTCCTTTTAAAAATGAAGGTTTATTGATCTGCAATAGAGAATTTGCAGGTGTCTAAAATTTGATGCATTTCGTGTTCAAGTGGAAATTACTGAGTAAAGTGAACGCGAGGATACCCTTGGCTCATGAATTGAACAATTTTTGGAGAAGATATGACAAAATTATCTAATCTGCTGAAATACATGTGTTTAAGTGCGAAATGCACTAATACAGCCAGATGACGTCGCACTAAGCGGTGCATTTTCTCACTTTTAAATCTACCATTTCCCATATCAGAAAAATATAAAAAATACTGCGAAATCAGATTTTTAAGCACTTTTAAATGAAGCGATGAAAACTTTGCATGCAAATTCTCAATTGTCAGCAAAATGTTTGTAGATGTGTCCATCCCATTCAAAAATGAAGGTTTAGTGATCTGCAATTGCATTTCGTACGACTGCGGCACCTTCTGCAACTGGTCTCGTCGGGCACCGTCTTTGAGAGCGGTGCCTTACCGAGCACTTAACCCAGATACGAAGATTAATGGTCGGAAGGCATCGCGACAACGGTGGATCTAAAATATGCGGCGTTTTTCAGAGCTGAAGCGAACCTACGTACGCGATTGAAGCCCGGGATTGCGTCACTGAAACCCAAAGATTTGGCACAAAAGTTTAAAAGTTGAGATCGGTTACAAAATGTTAGTCCTCCGGCTTAAGAGAAATGGGCAGCCGAGGCGGCGAGTGGGGTGGAGACATAAACACGCAATTCATTTGCTATGCGTGGCGGAGGACGCGGTCATCAAGCATCGGACATCAGGCAACAGCCATCAGGCACCGGACGGCAAATCATGCGTCATCCCAGCGAAATTATTTGCCAATAAACTGCAAGACAAAATGCAGGACTCGTCCGCATTTTTGCCTCTTTTATACGACGCGACGTCCCAACGTTGCACGATGGAGCTGAATTTCTTACTGAGAATCAATGATAATACCGATGAATAATTTATTACGCCAGGAGAATCTTTTTAATCGAATTGGTGTGAAAACTTTAGGTATACCCTTGCAGTATATTCCATTGACAATGGGTAAAATCTACACTGAAAAAAAATAATAAATTCGGTCATGTGAACTGAACCTTCGATGTTTCATATCATCCCAAATATTCGGTCTGTCAAACTGAACTTTCAGTTCGTGTAGCCAAACGTTCGCCATATATAACCAAACTTTGTTCGTCAGTTAGTTCACACTACCGCACAAATTCAGTTTGATAAACCGAAAATTCAGTTTGACAAACCGAAAATTCAGTTTGACAAACCGAGTTACTTGAGATGATGTGGAACACCGAACTTTGGTGCGTGCGACCGAACTTTTTTCTTCAGTGTAGGAGGGGCAAAAACGCCTCAAGATAATGTTTTACCTATTCTCTGCAAAATAGATGCCGCGTGGAGAAATTCGTTGTCAGGTTTGAAGGTAGAATTAATCAAAACATCTGAATCGATATTGATGGGATAGTATATGATGATACATCAGAAAGTTCGATTTATATCGATTAGTATTTCTTCAAGATTTCATGGCTCGGAAAATAGTTGACTGATAATAATTCGGAATACTATAGGGAAAAACTCGCAAGATAGCAATGTACTTAAGTGTACAATATACGTTTAGAGATTTTTTAAAAACTAAGTATTTCTGTGCGTCAACACGCATCATACTTGTACGTAACATGACACCACTGTAGCCCCTCATAACATTTTCTTCGAGTTTCCCTGATCATAAAGGTAAGAAGTAATAGGACACAGTCATTCAATTAAGACGAACATTTTCCAACTTAATGCAATGTTGCCAATAAATGAGACTTAATCCGAGTTTTTATAGCTCAAAAATCATCGTACTCAATCATCTTACTCATAAAAAAAAAAAAAAAAAAAAAAAAAAAAAAAAAAAAACCACTACCTCCCGGTAGTGATTCCTAAATTTCGAGTTAAACTGACAAAGCTTGTTTGTTTTCAGCCATAGCGCGCAATGTATTCCTCTAATATGAGGATTTCCAAAGATTTATTTTAAACAATTTCTATCAGAGGCAACTTACATTCATTCTGCAAGAATATTACATTAGATATCACTCAGGAAAAGATAAGGTATGCTGAGACCGAAATTTCAAGACGTAGTAAGAAATTACATTGAATAAAAACCTTTTTTTGAGACTTCCTTATGTATATTAATACCTTCAACTCAAGGTAGCTTCCAGGAACATCTTAAAATTTCATGTAGAAGGGGTCTTCATTTTCTCTCTTAAATTTCAACTGTGATTTTGAGATTTATTGTCGCTATAATTTAACAATCTGCCCTCGAATGAGCTCAAATACACCTGCGCACCAATTAGCTTTGTTTTAATGATAGTTGGAGCTGCGGGTTGATTATCGAATCGTTATCGAATGACCTTGATCGATTGATAGCATCGCCAACATAGGGATTTATCGATCAAGTTCATTCGATATATCGATATATCGCGCCGCTGTTAGGTTAATAACATGTGCACTCTTGCCGAGGGGCAGGTTACGCCCTCACAACGATGACAATATTGAGCAATAAAACGTGGCATCTCTAAATATGGTTTAAATCAAAAATAAATCCACAGTTTTGATTGAGTAAGCGGGTTCATGGCCGGCCAAATTTTAGATTATGAAACACATAAATCTGATCCTAAATGCCGGGCTTTCATGAAGATTCGAGCCATCTCGAGACAACAACAGTTTTGTAAGTTTTGAAGGTCACTTACTCAATCACATGCCTCAAATGGGATTAAGAGAGTATCCGAATAATTTATTCTGCCTTAATGGTATGAGAGAACCTCTTCATTTAGTACCATCTTCGAAGCAAAGTTAGGAAATAGGCATGGAAAGTAGGGTTTATGGGTACTTTCTTTAAGTCCGACAGTTGGGAGGGAGGAGGAGAGACTAGCCATATTCTACGTATTCTAATAACAATTAAATTAAGGTTAAAAATTTAATTATAAGGGAGTTCTTTTAGAATATATGGACCGAGTATCGAGGTTTTTCGGGTAAAAGGGTAAAGCTTTTTTGAGTGAAGCTTTTCGGGTAGAATCCAATGGGTGTAATGCATACTGTGCGAAAACAGTTTTCATTGGACCATTTCTTTTTAATCCCATCAGACATATGACCATACATGACGTCATAATAATCTGTCTTCTCGTTTTTGAGGTTGTTAACTTGGTTATTCTTGAGGTCTGTAATTGGGACTACTCATCTCATCTCAGACACAGCACATGGAGCAGAGAAGAGATATAATGGTTGATTTCATCGTGTTCTATACTGAATTTAGAGCAGACGAGTAACCAGTCAGGAAAACCACAGATCGAGTTAATGATTTTATGATCAACTTAAATAGTCGAATACGATTACGGTTAGATCGATAGCATTATTTTCGCATCAAAATTGGGCCAGAAGTACTCGTTAAAGACAAGCATTTGCATTCTATTTAAAGCTTTTCTATTATCATAAGAATGAAATTGACACCTAAATGAATTAAATTTGTCAAATTTAAGCAGAAAAATACGGAGGAGCACTTGGCGGTGATAAATATTTAAATCTTGGTATAGATTTTCCAAATATTTATAGTTCATCAAGCAAAAAATGACACCTTTCAGAGTAGAGCATACCCCTCGTGTTTTCCAGCATTTCACTTCCCATGCTCTCCGAACTTTTCTCGATGAAAACGTTTTCGGTCGCACTGAACTCTTCACACGCATCTTTATGGTAGTGTTCCAAAACAGTACTGAACGAGGGATGGATTCACGCCACCGTTTCATGAAACAAAACAACGAATGACTCTGCTTTTTAACCGTCCACACTGTCACACAGTCGCTGCGTGCGGCGATGATTAAGAGGACAAGACCGGAGCTTTGGAAGTTGACCCGGGTGAGTACTTTGCCAAGAGGAAGTGCAAAAGTGTCATACGAACTCGTGTTTGGTTAATCCAGTGGCACAAATCCAGTCGGAGAATTTCGACCGGAACACTGAGGGAGGAACATTGTCGTATCCAGTGCTAGAAAGGAGCGGAGCTGGTGACCCCGTGAACCGTTCACAGATGTCATACGGGACACGGGACATGGGACACAGGATCGGGTTCAAGCACGATTTCATCACTGGGGCGAGCGCGGGTTATATAATAAACGATAACAAGCGGCGAAGTTGACTGGGAACGCGGGCGAATCGAGATGCAGCCGTTAGGAGAACATGGTCCATCATCCATCGAGCACAAAAACTGGAGGAGACAAGCAAATCAGAGAAATAAGAAGAAACTGTAAAATTCTGGTACATACCGAAATGAACAACAGCAAATAAACTAATAACGTGCGCTAGGAAGTAGTTATTCATTGTGATCACCTCACTTGATACTTTCACTCAGTTATAACTCGACTAAAGCCGTCTTCAGCGCCTGCGTCGTCTTATATACTCGCCCTCCTCCGGCAATGAGTTGACCTACTCCATAGCCCGCCAAAAAATAACCATTCACCTTGTCATAACCTCCCCTTGCCCTTAACCATATCCGCACCCTCTTCCCTTGCATCTTATTCAAGTGCACGTGCTCTTCCTCTCATCGTATCGAAATTCCATACGAAAGCAGAGCATATCTTAAAAAAGTCAAACTATTTTTCTAGTCATGACCAACTCTTGATCTAAAGTAGAGCTTTAATATTCTTACCTCCAGTTTTTCAAAGGAAAAACGCTTCTTATCTCCTCGAGCATTTTAACGAAATTTTAAAAATGAAAAAATAAAAATAAAGAAAAATGTTTCAAAATGGGTAAACGTAATTTAAAGGAAAATCTTGGACTCAAGCAGTGTCATATTAAGAAATTAATAAATTAATCATGTTTCCCTCGGTATTTTAACCTTGCACTTAATTACATCAGCACCATTTTGCCTCTTTTATTTATGCTATTTTGCTGTAAAATACAAGTTTTAAAGAAATTGAAGCAACTCTTAAAAATCTCAAGTATAGAAAATGTAGAAATACAAATGAATTTTCTATGAATGATATTTATGTAAAAAACAATAAACTGTAGGGTTACAATGACAAAAAATAATAAAATAAAGTAATTCTTTGATGTTTCCAACAACTATAGGCATTTTCCTCTCTTGCCCGAATATTTTCACATACTTAAAAAAAAAAATCCCTAATTCCTTTGATGGAGTTACTGAAGGCTGAAACGTACAATCTAAAACATTTTCCAGGTTAGCTCACATTTTATAAACGTTACTATTCATAGGTCGGTGGTGGCTAAAACTAAAAAGGAACCGTTGGGTAGACTATTTTTAATTTAGCCGCACCATATCGTTGTTGGCGGTTCTCAAGATTAAAATTTGTTTGCTGATAGTACATATTTACTTTTCTGGCTATCTGAGGTTTCCAATAATATTGCACACATGAGTAATGATTTTTTTTTTAATTTTGACAAAGAAACAAAAAACACATTTAAAATCAGGTAAGTTCAGTCCATTTTTATGAAAATTTTAGCACAATTAACTGAGGTAAAAGGGGATGGTTTAAAGTGAAAGAAAATATTCGAAAAATGATTTCTGGTTTTTTTTTTTTTTTGGAATATTTTAGTGCATTGTTGGAAATCTAAGAAAACAACAACCAGTTCTCTTTAACTGCGTTTATCACTTTTTTCAATATTTCTCATAATTTGCAAGAAATTCAACAAATTGACTTGAGACATTCACATTTTTTTTTAAATGCATAACTATCTGTGAACTTTTGAGTTACGAAGAAAGTTCAAAACGCTCTGAGCCACTAGCATCAAACTTTTTAAATGTGCTCTTGAGATCAGATGAGGTTTTGCAAAACGTTGACCCTTATCTTAGGAACCCAAAAAAGCGATGGATGTGTAGTTTAAGAGAAACTTCCTCACAAGAAAATCCTCTCTCATAATATTAAGCTCGAATCCTATTGCAGATTCTGGTGGTACAGAGTTATAAATTCGACATTTTTAGTACCTATTCAGGCATACTAATTTTAAGGCGAGGTTACATAAAATTTACAATGCCGGCGGACCAAAACCATCTTTGAATCGAGGCTGAAATTTTCATCAGGGGCTACCTTGCCACAAAGTATCATTTAAGCCATAAATCGATGCATTTTCTAAAAGGGGTAGAAGGAAACCTTTTTTAAGGGAAGCTTAAACTGCTCCCTGAAAGCAGTTGTTATTTAAAAACTCCTGATCCGATGATTCTGAAGCAATCGGTAACTTAAGACATACTTTCTTCAAGCTTTGAGTCCTACCGCGCTGGGCTCTGAATTAGCCGTAATTTCTCACAGGAATGTTTTCTGACTCTTCAGCGGAAAGAAAAACACAAATATGTTGAGATGTGCGCTCAAAGTTTTTCTGAAGTGACCATGCTACGATTTTGTCGCATTCGTTTTTCTTAGATGAAAAAAGGTGGGGAGAAAGTCACATTTTGGGTCAAAGACGTTGTTATATGTTTTAACAATCAAAACATCATTCAGGATATTGACAATGTTGCGATAAAAATCAGTAATATTTTGCTTCCTGGGCACAATAGGCAACGCTAGAATTAAGTTACTGTGCAAGAGGAATAAGCGAAGCGTCTCCATTTGGTGTCAAATGCGACGAACACTCATTTAAACTCCTGGATGCAACTATTCGAGCTCTGTGGATTTCCGTGTTGCATACTCACGCAAGTGAAGGCGTTTTGATCGCCCAGTCACTCACCACTTCACTCATTGCGCGGCGACAATGGCAGGCTTTTCTGCGAGGATCTAAACTGGTAGACCACTTTCAATTCATCCCTTATACTGCGAAGGTATCTCGTACAGGCACGAATAGTTGCATACAGGTGTAGATTGTGAGTATGTTTTATGCTTCAGTTTCTATATCGCGATGTGCCAAGAATTATTTTTAGAGCAACTTTTCATGTCCAATAGATGTCTTCGAAGCATAAATGAAGAATTGAGGGCACTTGGTCATTTTAGACCCTCGGAATTAAGCCCGCAGTAAAATGAAATGAGTCTCTCGCAGAGATTTGACAAGGAATTTTCGACTAGAACTGCAAATTTTGATGTTAATTTCTTTATATTATTCATTAAGTAGGGTGCTTTTTGAAGGCAATTTTACGAATAAATCAGTAAAACCACTTTTAAAACCTCTACGTTCCATATAAGTATCGAATTTAGCTTTAAATACTCCCCTACTTTATCCGACTCTTCTCATTGACTCCCTCCACCGAGAGCCGCTGGCGTGGCGGTTTGTGTCTGAAGTCAAATCGCCTTCACTTACGAACGTATGCAACACGGACATTTACAGAGCCCGAATAGTTGCATCCAGGACTTGCAATGAACTTCGTTTAGTATTGGTAACATGCAAGAATAACTGAAGGTTTCATTGTTCCTCTTACGCCTTGATTTTATTCCAGCGTTTTTTTTTTTTTTTTTTTTTTTTTTTTTTTTTTTTTTTTATTATTATTATTTCATTATTCCTTTATTGGTCAATTTAGATACATTACACTATAAAAGAATATTACACTACAAGTGACAAGGGTTAGAAATTTAAAATGGTGTGACCGTATTAAAGGAGAGTATTCCAGCGTTGCCTATTGTGTCAATAAAGTAAATCAGTACTGATTTTTTATCGCGACCTTATCATTTTTCCTAAGAATACATTATTAAAATGTGTTGCAACTTTGCCGGCCCTCGAGACCACAGAAACAATAGATATTTTTATGAGTGGAGTTTACTCTAACCGGCTTTAAATAAAGGGTCCTTCGTTTGGATTATTTTCTTTCGGGAAAACTAATATTGACGCGTTTTTCAAAGATCAATCCTAATGAATCCAACGGAATTTTGAACAAAAACGATGACTATCCATCCTTCGAAAAGATGAAAGGCGTTAGGAAATCTGTACTATCACAAGCGTAAGTATATGTATATGATTTTCTCGCAATGGCTGGTAAATATATTTACCAAAATTATAGAATGCTTTGCTTTTGCCCTCCTGAAATGTGGGTTAGGTCTGGTCCTTTGACAAGTTTTCTCGCACCACGCATCAGACACGCAGGATCCAACATTAATTATTTATGAAATGATAATTTTCAAGACTACGTTGATTTCGGTTTTTTGGTGGGTGAAAAATTTGAATATACTGCCTCTAATATGAACCACAACCCTTAATTGCTTTTATCAGTTAATTTTTGAGCATTAACACGATTACCATGCTTAGTGTAAAATTCAGATGAGAACTCATACATCGTGTGACTCTATCATTCTTACCTTGCCTAGTAGTCAATGAGTTAGTTGCACCAGTCATAAATTCGTGATTTGATTATTTTAGCGTATAAAACTCGGAAAAAAATACGATCCATCTGAACACAAAGTTTTCACGGCTAAAATAACGGAGATATGATTCTTCAAAAACCATGAAGTATGACGTCATCCACCGCGGTGGTGTATACTATGGTTTTTTCAACATTGGTCTCGCCCGTATTCAAAGACGAGCACTAAATTGAAAGTATTTATGTAAAATGGAACTATGTGAAAATATACATATCATATTAAAAGGAAATGTGTAGCACGCAGACCCCATGAACATAGTTTTTTTTTATTTACTTCATGTTCATATATTCTCTTTCAGCATAAGTACGTCAATTGATGGATCCAAGATGGAGAATGGAAGACACTATGAGATGTATTACCGCAGTGTATGACGTCATTTTCAAAAGATGATACCTCTTTAATACTAAACGTATAGTGACCAGGCCTTTTGACAGAACGTACTACTTTCTGCGAAGCTATAAGCTTAAACCATATCAAACTGCGATTCTGTGATAGCGCAATTGACCCATTTCAAGGGAATCCCCAGATCGATTCCTGAAGTATGTGTAGGAAATTTGTGTCCAGTTAATATTGCACTAGATTGTATTCGCTCGTATTTTTCTGTTATTAAACTCAGCACATAATCCTCTCCGGCATTTTCATACACGTGATTGGATAATGAGGAACCGCTTAATTCATGATTTCTATTTGTCGGACGAATAAGCTTCGGGCATTCACATTTGGCTACTGTACAAGGAGTGCTTGAAACTGATAGTATGACTGACGGGCATAATCAAGACTCCATGACACGCATCGGAATTCGGTATTCGGAGTCAACAGACCACGCGGTGGACATAAAATTTCGCACCAACATGCACTTTAGTTTTGGATTTCTACAGTGGCGTGGCGTGCTTTACGATAAATCGATTGATCTGCCATTCAAACCTATGGTAAAGGATCGATTAACAGGGTGTCCGCAGCGAACACCTGAATGATCGATCCTTTACCATCGGTTCAAATGTAGAAATATCGATAATCGATCATTCACGCCCCGTCACTGGATTTCTAATTCTAGACCGCGATCCCGAAAAGGCCGATTTTCATACAGGTTATGAAACCAAGCTTACACGGGTTCGCATTAGAATTTTAGTAGAATAAGTAGATATGTTATACATAGATTACGATGTCAGCTCACAATTCCCGCTTCTCAAAAACTAAAGTCACCTTTAGTCAAATTGAGCTTTAAATTACCTTCTGTATATTTTATAATAGAAAAATTTTCCCATTGGATAATTTCTTTTACAGGATTTTCAATGCTTTATCAGTAGTATGAAAAGTAAAAATCATGAAAAAGGGCGGTACTTTATCTCTTTGCTCTATATGTGTGCTCTACAGAGGTAATATTTATTATCACGCGAAATGTATTTTCTCTGAAAATAAAATTTGAACGGATGAGTTTTCCACCAATTTTGCAGAAGTTACGAAATTCTTTAAATTTTGTGCTTTTTCCTAAATTTTCAAAAATGTGCAGTTGTTTTCAGAAATAAAGCAAAAGATTCGACAAAGATCAACAATTTTATTGCTTAATTTCAGAAAAAAACATAGAGACGGGATCGAAAAACATTGTCCTCGACGTTTATTCGCCTTCACTCTGCAAAGAGGGAAAGTATTAAAAATTACCAGAGGAAATACCGTTTTACCAGTAAAAATTACAGCTGCAATACAAAGTGACAGAATAATTCGCGATCACTTCTCTGAATTTACGTAAGAAAAAGACGGATTGCATAATGTAATGACTATCAGAAATTACACTTACATGTAGCGTTAACATATCGCACGATGCAATAACGCATGTGCTCAATCTCAGATTATTTTATCAAATTCACCGGAAGAATCCAGCTCAAAATTAAGAGATTCACACATTTAAGACGATACATTAAAATAAAATGTCATGAAAACTTATGGCACAAAGATTACAATAAGATGAAATTTTCGATGAAACTTTCAACTTAAAAAGATTAATGACACTCCTTTTCTTCTTTTTTTTTCAAGTTCCTGATGCGGCCAGTTCTCCGTAAAACAGTTCCTAGTTATTACAACTTTAGATCTCTTCTCTGAGACAACGGTTCACCGAAAAAAGAGGAAGTTGATTCAACATTCTGGATGTAAAACATGTATCTCCAAGTGTGCAAGAACGTATGAAATGCTGAATTACCCGCTTCAGAAGTTGTTGTAGCAATGCCAAGATGTAAAAATAACTGCCGTGGCTGTTAATTCGGCATTCTATAAGTTGCCACACACTTTTTTTACCTCTAGAATGTAAAATTAACATTTTTTCGGTGTTGACTTCTGGCATAAAACTGTGCTATACCAAACCTAGCAACAGAGCCGAGGGGTTTTCTAAGTACTCTTTCCAAGTGTTGGAGAACAGAGCGAGAGTCGCACCGTCTACAATTCTATGGTCTGCAGCCCAGCTAATATTGATGATTTGGGTTTTCTCCAGCTCTCCATTCTTGTTGTACCTCGGTAAAGTCTGCAATTTCCCAGTGGCGCCTATGACCACCTCCGGCGGGTTGATAAGCGGCCGGAAATAAATCCCGCCCACAGACCCGATGTTGGAGATAGTGATGGTGCCTCCGGATATATCAAAGGGCGTCAGCCTCCCGGCGTGAGCCAGATTCTGGAGCCGCGCCAACTCGACAGCTATCTGGAGAATGCTCAGGTTCCGCACATTCTTGACGTTGGGAACAACGAGCCCTCTCGACGTCGCGACGGCGAAGCCGATATTGTGGGCGGACTTGTAGGTTATTCTCTCGCACTTCTCGTCGAGGGACGCGTTGACGATGGGGTACTTCAAGATGGCCAGCGACATGGCTTTCATCATGAACGGCAGGAACGTGAGCTTGACGTCACGTTTGGCCAAAGTCTCTCGAAACTGCTCCCGCCACTGGACCAGCGTGGTGACGTTCACCTCGTCGCCGAACGTCATTGTCGGGATGGCCGACGACGCGGTCATGCTCCGCACCATGTGTTTGGTGAGGCCCTCCACTCGGAAGACCACGTCTTGATTGCCTGCCCCCGCTCCCTCCCCGCCGGCCGCCTGGGCCTGCGTCTGCCTCAATTGTTCGTAATGGCTCTCCGTCTCATCTCGCTGTCGATTCACTTTATTATTGTCGATAAAGCTCAAGACGTCCTCCTTCAGGACCCGGCCCCCCTTCCCGCTTCCACGAACTTCTTGGAGGCTCAGTTGATTCTCTCGCAGTAGCCGACGCACCGCCGGCGTTGCTAATGGCCTCTCTCCCGCTCGTTTCTCTTCCTCGCCGCTAGATCCCGCAACCGGCGTCGCTAATGGCATTTCCTCCGCCCCTACGCCAGACGGCGCCACCTGCGTCGATTCGCTTTGGACCGCTTTTTCAACCGTCGAGGGCTCCGCGTCTTCGGACTGAACCTCGATGTCGACCAGGGGCGCCCCGACCTGGGCCGTCGCGTCGACGTCGTAGTGGACCTTCTTGACGACTCCTTTGAACTTGCTGGTTATCGTTGTGGCTGCTTTGTCGCTCTCGACGTCGCAAACGTCATCGAACTCTTCGACGACGTCACCCTCTTTGACGTGCCACTTAGTGATGACCACCTGCTTGATACCCTCGCCAATATCCGAGAGGATGAAGGGCTTCACCGCTGCTGCAGAGGTGGCTTTGCTCGTGTGCAAGCCGTGACTGTGCCATGTGAGGACTCGCGGATGGCAGTTGGATCTCCGAGGTGCCTCAAATTGCCTAGCCTTTCCCTCGGCTGGGCGCAAGCTCAGACCCGAGCGAAGTCTGGATCGCAGGTGCCTTAACATTCTGCGACTATGGGCACGCCGCCAGCTCACACATTATTGAACCTAAAACAAACCAAAATATTATATTTAAACTTATCTCTCAATTGTTACCCACAAAGATAATCTGAATAATATTCGCAATTTTCCCGGTAAATTCGGTTTTTATAGGAAGAAACTTGGCAACGTCTGAAGGCTCATACGGCGTTCTTCCTTAGCATGGCAGATTAGGTATTAGCGCCATAAGTTTGTCTTCCATTTCACTGGATATGCAATACAAATACAGGAAGCACGAATTAACATACATACACAGTTCGAGTTACATATTCCAAAATACAAACATTCAGTTCACTCCATTCCTTAATTGAACCAATGCCGGGCAGGTGAACCATATGGTTTGGAAAGTGAGCTGAAGTGAGTATTTCAGCGCTACCTAATTTTCGATTTGTGTTTCATCGGAAATTCCAAGAATGTCCCTCCTAAATACAGGTGAGGGAAAAATTACAATTTGCTGGATACAACATCAGGGCCGGATTAAGGGGGTGGCCAGATGGGCCGCGGCCCATGGCGGCAAATTTTGCAATTTTTTTTAATGTAGCTATAAAGAAAAATCGGATTCAGAAAAGAACAATTACGAACGAGAAAAGGTGACAAAATCTCTCATTTCCTGAGAGTATATCTCTAATTTTGTCGTCCTTCTGTGGTTCAATAGACAGCACCTTCAATTAGTCGACTTAAGACCAAGAGAAACCAAACACGGAATTTTGCCCGGAACGGCGCGACGAGAACGTGAGATGAGAAGGAGAAACCCTCGGCGCGGCGGTCGGCATGTAACACATATTAGCGCCTAAGAGACTGCATGAATACTTCACGCATTGCGTCAAACACAGTGCGGTCAGCGCGGCGCGGCGGCGGAAGTTAAAGTTATTAAACCACATTTGTTTGTTCCTTCATAATTTTGTGGTTCATTTCTTGTAAATGGAAGGCCTTGTCCATACAGAGATAGGTTTACGGAACTTAACTTTCGCGCCAAGTTCAGTGAACTTTTGCTAGTAGTGTTGACAGGGCTTCCTCAAAAAATGTGACCAACGCGAGTTAACGTTTCTTATGCACTCTTCCCCCTCCGGCACGTTCACTTGATGGTTTTTATTGATGTTTCAAAATGAATGAGAAGGGGGCGGCAAAATACAGACGGTCCATGCAGGCAAGTAAGTAAATCCGGCCCTGCACAACATATACGTATGTCATTTTTAAAGTTTCACTTCCTTGACTGCATTACAAGAACCTTATTTGGATATCGACGGTGAAACTACCAAACCACGTATCTCGTTTGCGGTGTTTAAAAATCTACGCTCACATTTTATTTTTTTGAAGTAGACCAAATCAATATCATTCCTTGAAATTTTCTCCGCACAAAGAGGAAAAATCACAGAAATTTTCAAGACTGGATGTTAGGTAGTTTTTTATTTGAAAAATAAAGTATGACAGGAAGTCTGCGACGTCGCAAACCGACATACGTGGTTTGGTATATAGTTTCACCGTCGATATGTATTTTAGTAGGTACCACTGCCCATTTTGTGTTAATTTATGTTGAATCCAGGAACTCAACAATCGGACCCATTATTTTAATTGATGTTTTGTCATCGGTTCAAGACGTGATGAACTTAATCTGGAACCTCAACAACAATATCAAGATAAAAGTCTGTAATGATGATCATCTGATAATGATATTATATAAAAAACTTTTAATATAAGGCAACATTTGCAAACGGAGTATTCATTATAGTCGAATAAGTTCAATGCATTGTGACTCAAAGGCGGTAAGTGAACCAGGAACCTCCGCGTCATATACAAGAATTAAAGGGCAAAAACATGGCAACAGTCATGTCTGGAAATGTTGCCGAATCGAAGAGCATACCTTAAACTGTAACCGCCGTTTATTCATGTAAACCATTCCATAAAATCATTTTAAAGTTAAGAGAGCATTTTTATCTTAAGTGGATTCTTACTTTTTAACAAGCATGTAGTCGAATTTTTGTCAGTCCTTATCAGTGTTTTTGCTGTAATCCCATAAACTCATTACTTTTTGCCTCATCTGTCTTCCTTTGAAACTTTCCAATGAACCTAATTATAAGAAAATCGAAGTTTGCAAGTGAGAGTAAAACCTGCAAATTATAAATCTTTAAAGATCAATAAATGAGTAATGTTCATACAAAACTTTTGATGATTCTAATCGTGTATTGCTAACTTTGGTCAATAATCTCCTGTAAGTTAACCAGGGATATAATGACTTCTAGATTATTCAGTCCTTTAATTTTGGCTAAAATTGTTATAATTTCATCGTGACTGATATTACAAGTTGGCCAAACGAAAATCGTAAGTTCGACACCTTGCGACTAAAAACCATATTTTCTTTAAAATACGCATAGTTTTTCCTCTCATTTTTTTTCTCATTTTCTTTTTTGGGGCTCGTCCAAAATTTAACTGTGATATGCTTATTCCCTTACTCACTCCTATTTAAATGAAATATGAAATCAAAAATTTGGTTAAGTGTTCACTCAATGTCCGTAAAACTTGGCAACATGCGCGGTAATCTTCGGCGGCATTATCACAAAGCGTTGCCAAAGGTCAGCGTCAAAACGTGAACACGGTTTGACGACGGCGACTACCTCTCAAAACTTGAAACGATAATTTTGAAGGAGGAATTAAATGATAAAATACACTTTTTGTTAAATAAATCACCGACCATTCTTCGAGACGTTTTTCGGAAAATTCTCGGTTTCTCCTCTTGTGATGAAGTACTCGACTGTGACTAAAGATTTATTTTTCTCGAAATCTTCAATTTTGTTGCCCGAAAAAAAATTTTCTTTTGAAAAATTCAGACTTCTTTTAAATGCATAATAAAAAAAAATTGTCTGATAACTTTTAAGCCGCTTTTATCATAGTCGGGCTGGCCCATATCCCTGACGGACAATAGCTACCTGAATTTGAGCCCTGCAGGCTCAGTAGAGGTCCCTTTTAGCGAAATTTAGTGGCCTCTATTCGACACTTTTTGAGGAATCTCAAAGCACTTTTCATTTCCTCTTTTGAGCCTTATCCCTTTTATTTTAAATGATCCTTAAACGTTTTGTCGACGGGATCGCTCCATTCCTTCCTTCCGTATAAAATTTGATCAATCTGCCTTTATTCTTCGTATTAGTGTTGGTGATATTCAACGAACAAAGAAACAAAATATTTAGTGGTTTTGTGTACCAATTACTAATGGGGTGTTTAATAAATCATTCCGCTCCTCACACTAAAATTTTGACAACAAACCAGCCTTTTAGAAAATGCACAGAAATTCCAACTCAGTAACTATAATAAAGTACGCTGTTTCGTGGGCAACGTAGTTCGTAACAGAGAGACACAAGCTAGATTCTTCAATAATGCAAAACTTCTGAAAAAAACAATTCAAGAGATTTTTTTGTTTGTTTTTCTTTTGAACCGGGATGTTGATTAAGCGGTGGCAAAGCACATAAAAATTAGCCCCTCAAAACAGCACATACGCTGAAGATACTTCATTAAAAGTAATACATAAATCGTAATACATCAACCAATGCATTTAATGATTACCTGTATACATTCAAATAGTAAACGTTGAGTGGACTTGTTTCGTGATACGAACGTTGCGAAACACCAATATTTTCAATCCTTAAAACACTATTCTAAAAGTTCACCTGACCTGTGTAAAATTTTGTGTTGTAATTTTTAAAAAAAAATGAAAAATCCTAATTATCAACTTTGTGCACCAAACAATAGCACCAGTATTTACCTCACGTTTTAATTTTTTGAGGTTAACACTCCGAAAGACACTCCAACTAGTGTATCGAAATAATTATTACTCAAACTTACAGATATAAAGTTAGCGCTAATAGTAGGTCATTTCAGGCGAAAAATTAAAATGAAAACTCAACACAATGGCTGGGAAAGCGCATGAGGAGGAAAGTGAAAATAGCAAGGCAACAAGTGACACAACAGTTTATCCAAGTGGATATGTAAACGATCTATGACGTTCACAATTGACCGATTATCATATGCATAGATTATTCAGAGTTGAGATCACACCGTGAATCGGTGTAATGGTGGTTGCTGTCAGTTAAAGATACGATGCGGCCCGATCAATATGTCGCTTGGCTGACGAAAGGGCGTACCTACAATTTGAGATGAGCCCAAAGGAGCATTGGGTTACATGGACAACAGAGTTCATCTGCTAGAGTAGTTACGCCCTTTTAACAGGAAGGCGTCAAGCAGACCGGTGGCTGAACTTTGTTGCTAATAAGCTACAACGGTCTCGTATCAACACTTCTAATTGACGCTCATCTTCACGCAGCTTTATCTTTGTAGCGGGTCTAAGACCCTCAGAGTTGTCAAATTTGCTCTCCTCTTCAGTTTTCTAAGAACTTACGGTTTTTACGGTGCAATTTAGTTTTAACTAAAATTTTTGAAACATCACCAATTGCGCGTGGAAAATTATGCGAAATTGTGTCAAAATCATTAAATTTGTACGAGCATAGGGCATGTAAGTCTAACTGTAATAAATTATTTTAACGGTACATAATTAAAATATTTGAACATTCTCTAAAGTGGCGTTGTAAATTCCATTGGTAAGAGGGTAGTGGGGGGTTTAAGAATTTTTTACAGAGCCCGGAGGGTTTAAAGATGAAAAATCCTGAAAATCACAAAAAAGTGTTTTTATTTGTATTTAAAAAAAAATATCCTGTCTTGGAGGAAAGTGCAGACTTTCAATAGACCCATCTCTCCTCAATGACTTGTTTTTGACCACGCTGCTGCTTATTTTTGGCCACCTCTTGCAAATTTTCTCACCACATAAATTACTCATGAATCGCAATTTTAGTCGCAAGGGATGGTTTTCTGCATGATATGAGTACTGCTACTTACGCTACTCAAAAAGCAAACGAAAATGCATGGCATGATCTCCGTGATGTTTACCGCCCGTTGCACATCGGATTAGGAACGGTGCCATGACAAGAAGTAAACCTACATTAAAAGGAACATTCGGTGAATGTTTCCCACTGGTCAGTGGTATTTGAATTTTGGTTTTTTTCTAAAAATAGAATTCCTTCTTAAAGAAAATATTAATTGAAACAATGGTCTAATTGTAAAAGAATAACCCAATGTAGGTACATTAATGGTCGCTGATGAACATAACTTTGCTTGTGAGGATCAACATTTACACATTAATGAAGATGTGCAAAATTATCGAAACAGTTACCTATATCATGCACGCTTGATGTAGAAATTATCTTGAGTTTAAGAAATGGGAATATTAAAATAGTCCTCCCCGGCGGGGAATCGAACCCCGGTCTCCCGCGTGACAGGCGGGGATACTGACCACTATACTACCGAGGACTGATGAAAATAGCCGGAGAAATTTTATTCCCTGTTTTCAAGGTGCAGAGCAAAGTTTATTTTTCTATAGAAAATTACATGTTACCTCTCCGCAAAAAAAAATGATACGAGATTTCTTCCTATTAAACTCGATTTTGTGACATTTACTGCAGAAACCCAACAAAATTTAGTGTTCAAACACAAATAATTCAATTCCACATGCGTTGCATCTTGGCTAGGCGTCAGACGGTCACATTTATAGATAAGCTCTGTGTAGAGATACATTAGCCATTATTATGACAATGCATACCGGGTCGGACTGGTGAAAAAAGGGTCCGGATGGCGTGTACTTCTGAGGCGCCCGGGCTCCACTCAGAGGGGGGCAGGGGGGGGGGGCGGCAGTGGTATGGAATATACCTAGGAAGACAGATTTCCGGAGCCCTCCTGACTAATTTTTAAAAATATTCAGCCATAAAGCGTAAACTCCGACGAGCAATCTAGAAACATGAAAAATCGATGATTATCAAGGGATTTTGTTCGCATCAGGATAAACCTTGAAAATCGTCGTAGATTTGACTTTAGCTACTTTTCTGTTTTCCCTTAGTTTTGAATGTAGGAACACGTGGTATCATTCTCAGACACCATCATTGCTTGAGGGGAGAAGCAGGAGTAATTCACTGACAATGAGCGTGGCATGCGGAGCGGTCGCTTTGCCTCACTGTCAGTTCGCCTTCAGTTTTCAGTGTAGGCAACCCGAGCTCCCACGTGGCCGAATAATGGTATCACTCTCAGATAGCACGATTGCTAGAAGAAGAAAGCATGAAAATTCACCCAACGTCCGACCAGGACGTTTCGCGTAAAGCAATGACTTTTCCTCGTATAATTCATTTTTTGCAAGATATTTTGCAACTTATCACTTAAAGATTGCTCTGATGGAAAACTAACATTCATAAATTGCTATATTTGTGAATCGACGTATTTTAATAATTAAGGAGCAATGAACATATGGAAAAATGAAGAAATACAAATAATAAGTTTGAACACATACTTAATATTAGTTCACTTTAAAGTGATTTTCTTTGCGTGAACATAGTCAGGCCTAATTTTTCCTTGCTTAGGCCTGAGTCTTCCGTGCAAGGAGCAACTTTTACTCAGAGATGCCACTGCTTTTTTCACGCTTTGGAACTTCACACTTTATAAAATAAAAGCTCTTTTACTCATGCACCCCAAATTTTCAGGTCAAATTCTTGATAGAATTTGCAAAAGACAAGGTTTGGTAAAAACATTGTCTCAAGGTACACAAGTTTTTCTGATATGATACATTATTTCCAAAAACTTTAAAATGGCGTTTACGGCGTTTTTGCGTTGCACGGCAGATTGAAGGTACTCCACCTGAGAGTACTCGCAGTTTCCTCTCCCCCTCTAGTCCAGCCGATCAGAAATGAAAGGTCGTGCTAATCATTTGGCAATAGCGACAAAATGATCACTTCCGATCAGGCATACGCATACAGTCAAGTTCAAAAGCCCGCCGCGACTCAAAAGGGCGCTCTTGTCGTCGCGGTGGGCCGGGCCGGGCGGAACGACCACGTCGGAATTTCGTCACTCACACCTGCACTAACAAGTTTATTACGTGAAAAAATTAAGTAACTGACGAGCGACTTGTGTCGCGCTTACTAACAAACGTACCGATGACGACGCGCTGGGGACCAATCAAACCCACTTGCGACCACACTGCCGCACAGTGAATCCAGTCGATAGGAAAGGTCGGCCAAACTTTGGAAACTTTAAACGCTTGTAACTCCGTTTATACAAAACTTTGAGGCTCTAAAAGTGGCTCCATCGGTTTTCTCGTGAAATTATCTTTTAGAAACACCCCTAAAAGTCTAAAATAGGACGAAATAATAGTCAAAATTTGCAGTTTTAGTCAAACATTTTATGTCCGATTTTTCTAATTGACTCGATCCACTTTGTGCCGTGCCGAGTAAAAACGCCGCACAAGCATTCGAATGTTGCCGAATTCCCTCTATGAATTGAATTTTTGAAGAAAGTTTTGAATATCTTTCCTTGAAGTTTCCAAACTTCTTGGATCAAATTACGAACGAAATCCCGTGAAAAATCGCGGAGGAGGAATTCTACACTACAGTACGAAAGGATCTAGAGCAGTAAATTTCATATATGTGACAATACTATATTAGCATATACAATGCTTTAAGCTTGAACACAACTTAATTTACTAAGTTTCCTGAAAATGTATGATTTGTCAGAGGAAATTTGACAACGCCTGATGGCTAATACGGCGCTTTTACTTAGCACGGCAGCACAGCGCCGCGTGGTGGTCGGTCGGGCCGAACCGTGTATGCCATTTTTTGCATGTCTTCCTGCGCATCGCCGACGCGACGCATAGCTTTCCCGCGCTTTCACACCCTCTTGACCCAATCATGTACCATCAGACGGTGGTTGTAAGTAATTTTCTTGATGATCCCTCTCACGGATATGGAACCAGGAACTTTTCATGAGGGGGAGGGGGGGGCAAAATAGCACCTTATCATGGGGTGTCTGGGGAGAGGGGGGGCAACCCACTAAGGAGAATCTACGGAACTTCCCTGGCTCTAAAGGAGGGTTTAGAGGATTTTCCTCGCATCAAAGGGGGGCTCAAGAAGGGCCCCCTCCATGACCTGAGACTCGGTAAATTGTCCAAAATTTACCGGATCTCAGGAGCAATTTTGAGCTACTCTCACCGAAATGTTGATCCAATTACGATTTCAAAGGTATGATACGTAACGCACTCTCTTAGCAAAATTCCTCACATCTCTCCATGGACTTTCGCGATTTTAGGAGTTGAAATAGGTCTTCCCAAGAATAATGGTTCATCCGCAAAATTTTGCAGACAAAAATTCTGGTACTATTTGAATTCAATTAGTTTCTTTTAGTTCGTTGCTTAAAGAGTGGTTTTCAAGTTGAACATATTAGCTCATCATTTGAATAGTATTTAAGACTAATTTAGGTAGTGCGACTCAAGCAGCAATTAAAAGAGGGTTATTCAAAAATCACGCACCACTGGCCATGAACGGGGTGGCCGTTTGAAATTTTTGAGTTGCCCCCCGCCCCCCTCCCCCCGAGGGGATAAAAAATTGGAAAGTACCTAAACACGTTTCCCCCTCGATAGGAGGAGTCTTAAACCGCAAAATATCATAATTAGAACTGAAAGTTTTGGCCAGTGGTGCGTGACTTTTGAATAACCCTGTAGGTGTTCAATGCAGTCCTCTGATACTATTTCCCTTGTTCTAACATCTCTGACTCGTATTAACAGATACATAGGGAGGATTCCTTAACGGTACGCAATAGATCAGTATTTTTCGGGAAAGAAAAGCCAGCCCGCCTTCATTTTTTTGCTATGCAATATGCACATCCCATGAGCTCGAATAGTTGCATCCAGCCGTCGGTATCAACCATTTGAAATTATGTTAACCTTAAAGTTTAAAATATCTGAAACCAAAAAGCATAAAAATACTAGCAATTGAAATACGAGAATTTCAAATTTAGCAATTGACTTGATTTTGATGTGTAAAAGCAAAATTGAGTCAAGTGCGATTCAAAATCGGGGTAATTTTAGGAAATCTGATATTTTAAGTTTTAAATATATTTTTTTAATGTAAAGAAGAGGACAAAA